CGTCGTCTGCGGTGGGGTCTGGGTCCTTTCCATGTTCCCCTTTGTTGGAGCCTCCGGACAAGAACCATCTCATGAGGTTGTAGTCCTTGTATAGATGCTTGATCGGGAAGGCATGGTTCGGGCATGGCCCCTCGAGTAGTTTTTAAAATGGTTCGGAGTGCCCTCCATGGGCTTCCGACCACCCCTGCGGTCTGCGGTGGCCACGAGCGAGCCCTCATGCCCTTGCTTCTTGTTTTTCTTTTTGGCGAAACGATTGGAGACGCCTTCGCCGGCATCCTCGTCTCGCCTTGCCTTGCCATCGAGGCGATCGAAGATTGCTCCGACCGCTTCTTCACCCGAGGCGTGGCTGGTGGCGATGTCTAGTAGTTCCTTGGTGGTTCACGGGCCCTTACGTTCTAGCTTGTGAACCAAGGACTCACAGGTGGTCCTATTCAGGCAGTGCAACGAGCTACCTAACGTTGCACTACCTGGAGAAGCATCGGATGTACCCCTGGAGGGTCTCACCAGCCTTTTGTCGGTAGTTTTTGAGGTCCCATGGGCTTCCATGGTGCTTGTATGTGCCCTGGAAGTTCTCCATGAAGATCTCCTTCAGGTCCACCCAACTTTGAATTCTATTGGACGGCTGGTGTTCCAACCATGTCCGTGCCGAATTGGCTAAGAACAGCGAAAGGTTGCGGATAATGAAATCGTCATTATCTGCACCACTGGCTTGGCAGGCAAGCCGATAGTCTTCGAGCCATAGTCCGAGGTTTGTTTCTCTAGAGTACTTCGGGATGTTGGTTGGTGATCGGTACCTTGGTGCAAATGCAGCGTTGAGGATGTGTCGGCCCAAGGCCTGAGACCTCGGGAGGCCGAGGCTCGGGCTTCGGTCCTCACCGCTATCGTAGCATCCGCCATGACGAGGGTGATAGCCGCGTCTGGCTCCCTCTCTCGGGTCATCATAGGCGCGTCTGCGGGCGTCGAGGGTGTTGCGTGCATCACGGTTGTGGCCGAGACGCTGACTCACTAGGGACCACGGTGTGCTGCCTACTTCCTTGTGGTTCCTGGTGAACGGCACATCCCTATCGGGATGCTCCGAGGGCATTCGCTGCCTAGCGTCGAGCTTGTGTCACCGAGACAACGAGCTTTCGGCCTGCTGCGCCGTCGCTCGCTCGAGCAACGTGTGAATCTCGCGGTGGGCACGATGATTCTCAGACGTCGTGGCCTCTAGAAGTCCATGGAGCAAGGCCGTCGTGGCAGCGATGTTCGGGCTTGCTTGGGTGAAGCGAGGGAGGGCTTCATCATCGGCGATGATGCTCCGGTTCACGTCGTAGGTCATGGCGCGGGCGCACCCACCGTCTCTGCGGCTCTTGATCTCCTGATCGAGCTCCGTGCATTCCTGCTCGAGGTGGAGTCACGCTTCCTCGATCTCTCGGTGTCGAGCTTTCAGCTGCTCCACCGGCATGCATGGTGGGGCCGCTGTCTCCCTCTCGGCCTCATCGGCAAGGTCGTTTGTTGGGGTAGCCTCCCCCTCGCTGACGCTTTCAACGTGCCCCTCGGGGTACCCATTCTGAAGCATTCACGAGAGGGGTGATGGCTTCCCTGCTGGAGTCAGAGCCAGAGGGTGACCCTGGCTCCTCTGCTAGGAGGTCATGGAAAGATTCCGTGACATGTTCGATCACCCCCACGAAATCATTGTTCGCGGGAGGTGGAACCATGCGTTGTGCCACAAGGTGGCTAACGGTTGCCGTGGCGTTGCGGAGACCAAACGGAAGCGCTGTCGGGGCGCTCCGCATGGGATGTTTCGGAGAGAGGGGTTCCCCTCTGGCGAGCCATGCCATGTCATTGGCGTCAGAGAAGGTGAGGCGGCACGGATCCTCCCTGGATGGCTGGGGTCCTAGGGAGACGCTGAGCCGGCGCTCAAGCCTCTCGTAGTTGAGGCTGATGTTGAGAGAGTCGGATGGCGGCGTGAGCCAATGCCAACTCTCCTCCCACCGTGACGATGAAGTCCAGGTCCCCGAAGCGCACGTGTGCGCCCGGGACCCAGTTGATACCGTGGCTAGCCATCCGTGGCCTAGTGTTAATGTTGGAACGCGCAAAGGTCCCATACCTGGCACGCCAACTGTCGGTGTTTCGAGTAAACACCAACAAGTAAATTTATATTATTGCATGTTTGGCCCAGATGGCATGCTAAAAATACACAAGGTTTATACTGGTTCGGGCAGAATGTCCCTACGTCAAGTTCGTGGCTGCTGCTCATGTTATTTGCACTGAAAAAGTTCGTAGTAGGGGGTACAAACGGGCGAGAGAGGGACAGGTCCCAAGTCTCTGCTGGAAAGGTCGAACGGGTGCTGAGAGCTTGGCTGCTACTCAGCTATGTGTGATGTGATGCGTGGTGTGTTGAATCGATTGGTCCCCTTAGTGGGGTATCCTGCCTCTCCTTTTATAGACCAAGGGAAAGCAAGAATTACAGATAGGAGAAAGAAGAAGAACCAGAGGCCAAGGAGGTCCTTCAAAGATGACGGGTCTTCCTTTTCCTCTGAGCGAGCCCCGCTAACACGGCAGACGGTGCCAGGGATAGCTCCATGCTTGGTGCATGTCCGCTGATCCTGATAGGGCCATGCTCTGGCTTTGTCAGCAAGTGGTCACGTCCCATCCTGCCCCGACGGGCGGCGCGATGGACCAAGGTGCTCAACCGTGACCCTACGGGGAGCAGACGGCGCAGTGAACCCATGTCCGTTACTGTAGATGATGTGAGTTTCCTCCTGGATCGTAGCAGTTGTCGTATGCTTCCGTCAGGATCTGTGCCCGAGGCAAATGCCGGCGCCCATAACACTGTAAGACAAATATCGACGCCCACAACACTGTTTGGACTCTGACATGCTTGAAAGGGCTTAAAGCGCCCATCTTGTTATATCCTGACGGTACTTTCCTGCAGGCGTGCAGGATATGGTCCTCGGTATTGCGGTTGACTAAGTGCCCCGCCTTATTTGCGCGCATAGTTATGAAGGAGCAGCGCGCAGTCATCGGGCGAGGCAGAGCCTGCCCTCAGACGTCGGGCGAGGTGGAGTCAGCCCTCAGACGTCTGGCGAGGTGGAGTCTGCCCTCAGACGTCGGGCGAGGCGGAGCTAGCCCTCGGACGTTGGGCGAGGCGGAGTATGCCCTCGGACATTGGGCGCCCCTCAGACGTCAGGCGAGGCGGAGCCAACCCCTGGGGGTCGGGCGAGACGGAGTCTGCCCTCAGACATCGGGCGAGGCGGAGCCAGCCCTCGAACGTCGGGCGAGGCGAATCTGCCTTCAGACGTCGGGCAAGGCGTAGCCAGCCCTCGGAGGTCGAGTGAGGCGGAGCCAGCCCTCAGGGGTCGAATGAGGTGGAGCCATCCTTTGGGGGTCGGATGAGACGGAGTTAACCGTCGGTCGTTGGGCAAGAGGTGTAGTCGCGTTCTTGTTTGTTCGAAAGCATCAACGTTTGATGGTTATTAGCTCATCCTCTTTGGGTACCTCAGTATTTAGTCTATGCGTAATCTCTGGTTTAATAGTAGATGCTGCTGTGTATACATTTAGTATTTTAGGTCCTGTTCGTTTATGCTAAAATTTATTTTATATTTATACTGAAATATTGTGTGAGAAAAATATTACTCTATATCTGAAAAGTAGCTCAAAGGAACAGGGCCGTATTCCAGATCGATCAAACTGAGGTCAGCTCACTGTTATGTTACGTACGCCTGGCCGTGATCGATCTCATAAACACCTTTCTTCCTTTCTTTTCCGCGTGATCGGCTGCTCAGTCAAATGCATTCTATGAATTTTAACATAAATTAAGAGAAAACATAAAAGACATATATATATTTATTTTATTTCTTAATCAGACGTTATTATCAATATAATCAATGATGATTGGTTGATAAATAAAGAGTATTTAATATAAAATTGATTTTTATCCTCTAAAATATATTATATTTAAGGATAAATTTTGAATACTAAAATATACTATATTATAGGACACAGGGAGTAGCTCAGTACTCCATGTTTGGCAGCTATATATGCTCCACCGCCTGCTTCCTTTTGGCAAGGTAGCTTTAATTTGTTTGCCCATCGATTACTTAGCATAGAAGAGTAGAGAGAAATAGACTTTGCTGGGTTCGCAAATCAAACAAGGGCGCAACGCGCTTACATGAAAGAGCGGAGACAAATAGACTTGCTGGCCAGGTTAGCAAATGAAACAAGTGCGCAACGCTTACTGTTTACTAGTTAGGGCGTGTTCTTTTCTCCGGTCCTAAAACTAGAGACTAAAATACAAACTAAAACATGAACTAAAATGATGTTTATTTCTAGGGACTAAAAAGGACTAAAGAGAAGGAGAGAGACTGCGAGGGAGAAGAGAGAGTGAGGGATATGGGCTGTTTAGTCCCAATTAGCAACGTCTAAGGGACTACTACATTTTAGCACCTAATCCATATTTTAGTCTTTAGTATTTGGTTTAAATGGACTAATTGAGACTAAAATTTAGTCTTCAGTACAAAGGGACACGCCCTTACTTTCTCATCACTTCCTACAAGCTCGATAATGTAATCATGAAGCTCTTCGTCATTTATTTGTGTGCTCATCACAGTACACTAGATATTGCTACCCATGCATCACATTTGTTACATTTAGATCAAAACTTGCCAAAGGACACATATAATAATCTGGTATGTTTTGTGCTTTTCCAAAAACCACATCTATTACCATGAACATATATACAGAGGAATCGAGCGTGCGCCGGAACTTAGATCTCTACCGGTTTATACTTGTCATCTGATCTCTTGAATCTTTGGACAAGGGACTAGCTAGGGACGGAGCAGGGCCGTGTGTCTCTCGCAACAACGAGAAAAAATAATAACCATAACCAAGAGGGGCACTAATGTGAAAATTTCAAAGAAAGAAGAAAGAGAAGAAGAAAAAAAGCTCACGCGCCGTAGAAACACGCATCCCTCCTCCCCGGAAAAACCATCGATCACCCATGGAGATGGAGTCCCTCCTCACGCCTCCACGGCTGCGAGCTTCTCGGCGGTGGTGGCCAGCGACTGGAGGTTGCACTTGACGATGGTGTCGACGAACACTCGGGTGTCCTCGGGGGTGTTGCCTGGCGGCACGTCCACCACGTACGACTCCACGACGATGGTGGCAGCGTCGGGCGCGGCCGGGGACGGGTGCACGGTGGTGACGGAGAGGTAGTTCTGGAGCCGGTGCTCGCCGCCGACGACGCGGAAACTCAGCACGTGGCTCTCGTCGTCCAGGATCTCCAGGCGCTCGCGGCTGGACGCCGCGGGGAGGCCCGACACCACGCGCACCTCGCGGAGCGTGCCCACGCCGCCGTCCCCCGCCAGCAGCGCGCAGCTGCGCACGAACCGCTTGTACGCCTGCGGCTGGTCGAACCGCCGCACCACGGACCACACCGCCGCCGCGGGCGCCGCCACGTGCTGCACCACCGCGGAGCAGCACCGCCCGGGCCCCAGCGCCGCGTGCTCGTGGTGCCGCGCCGCCTCCGCGGGCACCTCGCCGTCGTGCGCCCCGCACCGCATCCCGGCCGCGCTCGCGGCGACGGCCGCGGCCACCTCCGCCGCGCACCCGACGCCCGCCAGGACTCGGCCGTGGTGCTGGTGCGGCATGCTGCCGGGGCTGGACGCCTGGATGCACGGCATCTTTGCGGCTAGCTGGCTGCGCTTGTCCTACCCTGGTTAGCTGCCTTCGTCTGCTGGTCTCGTCTCTCGTGTGTGCGGTGGAATTTCTTGCGGCGACGGGCGGGTTGGGGATAGTGAAGAGAGGTTGATGGAGGGTAGAGGCATTTAGGCATTTATATATGCAAAGGTGCGCCAACTTGTCCTGGCTCGCACTGTTGCATATGGTGGCTCGCACTGTTGCATATGGATCCAGTTGTGTGCTCACTTTAATTGTGCTCCCACTTTAATTAATTCAACTAAATCATCTTTAAGTGGGGTCTACAATTCAGCAATTTGCCCAAGTTGCATTTTTGGGGGAGGGCGTTGCCAGCTTTCTTGATCTTTTCGATAAATTAGGAAGAAAAATTGATATAGACTCAACCCAAGTTGCAGTTTTGCGGGGAGGGGAGCATTGCCAGCTTCTTGATTTTTTTCGATAAATTAGGAAGAAAAAGTGATATATAAACTCAACACGAGACATTCTTGAATTTCATCTCCCTTCATGTTTATTTCCATGCATGGGGGCTCATGTATCTCCCTTCATGTTTATTTCCATGCATGGGGGCTCATGTACCTCGCGGTAGAAGTACTATGCAGTAGAACACATGGTTGTTTTATGTGATGTTGAAGTGGGTTCGATTTGAAAAAAATAATATCTAAAAATTGATTACATAACACAGGTTTGATTGTAGACATTTGATAAGGATTAGAATTAGTCATCTATATGACTGTGTCATATCTATGTATGCAACAGTTGCCCAGCTGCTCCATCCATTCTCCAAGATGTATGACATTTTGGTCTTGTGCCAAGTCATTTTTTTTTCTGTTTGATCAAATTTAAATAAATGCATGTTATGATATAAATGTCTACAATGGACACAAAAATGCACTAACAAGTAAAAACAATATTATGTGGCGGACTTAATGAAATTATTTTGACGTTGTGGAGATAATGATGGTTTTTTTAATAAAATTGTAACTTAGCACAAAACTAAAATAACCTATATTTTAGGAAGAAGTGAGTGCCTTCTAACATAAAAAAATGTACAACCATTGTAGAATGATGCATGCATAGGATTGAGAGGTTTAAATCTAACTTTGCTGCATAAGTTGCGAGGGTTCAGTGGCCCATATATGATTGTTGAGAAGTTGCGGGGGAGTATATATCAGAAGGGACGGCAAGAGATATTTATTAGAAAGAAAAGTGGATGATATACTATATCACTGTAATATTAAAAAGATGCATGTTAAGAGCAAGTGGGCAAGCAACACTGCAAATTAATCTTTATCCAAGAGGAGGTTGTTAATTAAGTAAAGAGGGGGAAGGGGCTCAACTGTTCAAATATACTGTATATGTTTTCATCTAAAGATTTCTCAACAACTAGCATTGTAATGTAATGAAAGTGGAGCATACTCTATAGAACAGGGGAGGCAAGTAAGCCAAGTTGGTCGAGATGAGTTTATATATAACCCCACACCGTGCTTGCCCTATGGATGCCCATTTTTATATCACCCCTCTTGCCCAATGTTGTTGCTTTCCATCGTCGTGATCCCGTCCCTATTGTTAATCTTTCACCACCTACTAACTTATCTCTACAACTAAAACATACGGATGGTCAATATCTACCCGGCAGGACCAAAACACTCATGCGATTCATATCCGGCAGGCAAATAATCACCGCATAGAGACACTGTAAGGCAAGTAAATAAAATAGAATAAAACTCACGGAATCACCGGCAGGCAAATAATCACCACTTGGAGACACTGGAAGGCAAGTAAAAAAATAGAATACAACGGAAAGAGAATTATGGGAAGAGAGAGAAATTTATTGGAATATCACCACGCAATGATCATGATCGTGATCCAAATCTCGATCGTCGTCCTTCGCGTTGCGTGTTGACAACAAATACTTTTTTCCAAAAAAATGAATTGTTGCCATGCCTCATGCGGGCTAGGATATTGTAAGTCCGAGTATACATGTTTTGGGCAAGGCAGAGCATGGATAAATTCAATTTGATATCTAACAATAAATTTTCAACCTTTGAGGCAACTGATGTTTGTCGTAACTTTCAGACAACAAGCTTCAAGCCTAGCTTTTATTTCAGATTCATTACGATAATGAATGTGTTTCTAGACATTATCATGGTATAATACACGTGAAAATTTGAATTGATATATTCTTGATTTTTGACTTGACTAACAAGCATCTTATTCAATTTATGTTGCACCCGTTGCAACGCACGGGCACCTATCTATATATATATATATATAGAGAGAGAGAGAGAGAGAGAGAGTTTATATATATATATGGAGAGTATATTCTGTAGCCACCTCCATTTACGATAATTTTATATACTAATTTACGATAATGTCAATACGTATTTACGATAGTTGGGTTCCTATAACATATGGGGATATTTACCATAACGTTATAGTAAATCACTTAGTAAGGAGTTATTATAATCTCATAAATTAACATAGTAATTATCGTAACTCAAAGTGGCTATATAATAAGTTATTTTATAGCCAGCAACAGAGTAGTATATATATATATATATGAGAATCGTATGCACGGACCATGACAGGCACAAAGGAGGTTCTACCGGCTTCATGTTATCGACAAAGCTGGTTAACAAACGCGGTCTCTTTCCAGCCATGATTGTCCTGTTAGCAAGCTAGTGTGATGCAACTTTGTATTGCAACGGCTGGAATATAACGGGTCCCTTCGGCCTATCGATCGAGCTAGTGTGTTCAGCGTTCTTCTTCCACGCGTTATATTCCAGCTCAGTAAATTGACCAATGGAAGCGCAAGAAGATCATCAATCCATCACGTTGCCGAAGGGGAAAAACATCAATTCATCACTGCGCTTTTTATGGTCAGATTGGCTAGATACTGCACGAAATCCTACAGCAACGGGTGGACAACGAGGAGCAGTAGATGTGTATAGCTAAGCTATACTTAGACTACTCCCAGCGACAGCCAGGTAGGAGGCGATTCTTCTACGGCCACGCGCGGGTTTAATTTTCAACCGAACGAACGTATGCAGGTAAATCACCACGAAAGTAATAAAAGGGACAGGGAAAAAGAAAGAAGATTGATGCAGCCTGTCGTCGTTGGTAGCAATGTACTCCTGTAGCACATATCAGCAGGGCGCTGCTGTCGTGATTCTGGATCAACAACAACAGGGCTGCAAGTTGGGGAGGCCACTTGGGAGGCGGGTGGACGGACGACGCGATAAGGGAAGGGCTCGCGCGAGGGGGACGCGCGCAAGTGGGGAGGCCCTCCCGTCCCGCGCGTCCCTTTCCGGGGAACCAGTGGCCGGGCACGCCCAGTTGCGCCAAAACGTCACTGCTGATCACGAGGACGCGACCGAGCGCTGTTTCCCCGGCCGCGGCGCGCGCGCTCGGCTGCTGGCTGCTCTCCTTGGACCAGGACTCCAGGAGATAGGAGAGGAGGGCCTCTCGCTCACGCACGGCACGGCTCGCTGCCCGCCGGCCGTACGCGCTCGTGCGGCCCGGTCCCGCCCGCCATAAACCCTGGCAGCCAGCCAGCCGCCTAGTTGCGCTGCCCCCACCAGGAAGGCAGGAACAATGCATGCAAGTGGGGGCCTGCCGCATGGCGCGTGCTGTTCGGAATTAAACGAGGCTGGGTGGGCTGGTCGCGCTTCACGAGCGGCGGGAAGACGACGCAAGAGTCACGACTCGCACAGGAGGGTGGGTAGGGTAGCTGGCCGTTTCTCTTTTCGGATTCTACCAGGGCCGGTTTGCTTGCCGAAATTTTTAGTCTAATTAGGCTTAAAAGATTCGTCTCGTGGATCTCGTCTAAACTGTGTAATTAGTTTTATTTTTTATTTATATTTAATGCTTCATGTATGCGTCTAAAGATTCGATGTGACGATCTTGAAAATTTTGGCATTTTAGAAGGGTAGGGCCCTAGTTGATCTCGCTTTCAACGGGAGGGAATCATCGTTGAAGAGTCCTCCGTCGATCAATCAGCGCTAAGTTTTTTTTTATTACTTTCGCGATCGTCCAATTTCCCTACTTTGTCTAAAAATCCTCCTCCGGGTGCTAGGCAGTCCCCAAGCATTCTACTTAAGATATATAAGATGATTTTCTCACGCAGATCAAGAATCCTATCTCACCCATATCAACAGAGCTACAGCCCGTCCGCTCCCTACTTCATCTATAAAATTAGTTTTTTTACCTCCTCTATATTTTAAAACCGTTTGATTTGCGTCATAGATAATTTTAATAATAATTTTTCCTGACTTTAGCCGAGTGGCGTGTAAATCATATTAAATTAAAAGTTTGGGAAGATAAAAATAAAACTACATTTTAAAATATCCAAAATTTCATAAAAATGGTTTCAGAAAACCTATCCAAAACAATTTTATGGAAAAATAATGCAATTAAAGAATCATAAAACCTGGTTTGACCTTAGGAAATTCATAGAAATTTTGCTTTAGCATGAAAAATTATTAAATTAGTTTCATATTTTTCCCTAAAATCATGCTCTATCTCAACATGATTCTAGCCAAGCAACGAATGAGACTTAATATGTTGATAATTCAAAGAATAAAAATGTGGTCTTTTTTAAAAAAACAAGTGAATGAGTGTCTCTTATTGTATTCATATTTTTTTGCGCAAGTTTTTTGTCTGAAAAATGGATTTCTAAAACTCGAATAAGTAATGGATATGTTTTATGTTTTTAAAAAAAAATAAGAGTTCAAAGTTATGTTTCATAAAAGTAATTTTTTAAAATACCTTTTGAGTTTGAAAAGTTTTTGAAAACTTATATGTTTTGAATATGTTTATAGAAAACTATAAAAACGCTTCGAGCTTATCTTTCTTTTAGGAGAAACGCTTCGAGCTTATCTGACGGCCTGCTCTCTCTTTCTCTTGGCTGAGCCCGATCCTCCTTTCCTTTTCTTTCTACGTTTGGGCCGGCCTGGCTTTCTCCCGGCCAGCTCCTGGCCGCTAC